CGTCCATCGGCCCGCAAAGTAGCGGCCACCACGCGCTTCAAAGTGTCCCAATCCACTTGGACTCTAAACCTGTTGAATGGTAAGTCCCATTCTACAGTGAACAGCACCTTCAAAGGAAGCTTTTGAAAAAACCCCTGGGACCGAAAGAAACCGAGATAGACAGGATGCAGCGAAGGCATGCTGATTACCCTCCCGGGGACTTCCGCGTGGCCTGCAGCGGCCGAAGCGCTGTGCTTCCAGCCGCGTATCGTGTTCCCCGTTCTCAAGGCTATGAATTAGCCTTGAGATCTACAATGGCAAATCATGAAAATGTGAATCAAGACGGCTTCTTTCTCCCCCAAGGAGTTCCACTAACAACATTTCTTCAGTTTTCGGGTGGTTTCCACGCTTTCTAGAGCCTTTCTCCTCGAGTGGGAGCCCACTTTGAATAACTTGCCCAGACTCGAGAACTTCTCCTCCTTTTTATTTTCTCCACACGTGAAGTAAAGTCTAATTCCCTTATTCTGTACGGTCCTATCATTCAGGAAAAACGTATATTTCGATAGTAGTGGCAGTGATCACAATATTGCTCTCGCACGAGGACAGCTAATGTTTTGTCTGTGCTTCTTAAGAGCCACAGTCTTTGCTAAACGATTTTTATGTGTTATCTCTTTGCAGCCTCACTAAATCATGTGAGATCAATTTCGCAGGTGTTCCCATTTTACAAAGGCAGACACTGCAGCATAAAGAGCAGTCAGACTCCATCCAGCTCAGAAGCCTGTGCCTTTAATCAATGTGCTATAAATCCCCCTTTATGGCTAAACAAATGTGGCATTTAGGTTGGGGACACATCGGTGAGTGGCATGTTGGTGCTGGACAAATCCCTCAGCCTCTGCCCTCTTACAGAATAGAATCAAATGGCAAAGAAGGGAAAATGACTTGCATCAAATCTACAGATTAGCGGTGTTGAAGGTGAATGGGTGCTGGTACGCAGAGCATTCTTTTTCTTCCTTTTTAATGTTTATTTTATTTATTTTTGAGAGAGAAAGACCGAGCGTGGGCCAGGGAGGGGAAGAGAGAGAGGGAGACACAGAATTTGAAGCAGGCTCCAGGCTCTGAGCTGTCAGCATAGAGCCTGGCGTGAGGCTCGAACCGACGGACCGTGAGATCATGACCTGAGCCAAAGTCAGACGCTTAACTGACTGAGCCGCCCAGTTGCCCCGGTACACAGAGCATTCTTAACGTATGGAAACTTTGAGGCTCAGCAGACCTTTGTCACCTAGACTGGGTGCATAAGGCCATGAGAACTGACAGATTTGGAGCTAGCAGCCACACGGCCCAGTGAACTTCATCTGTTTATTTGCTTCATTCCAGTTCCAGAAAAGAGAAAAAATAAAGATTACCCAAGAAATATTTCCCTTTCTCTCTCGTAGAGTCAGACACAATGTTTACCATAGACAATCAAGTGTGTTTTAAGACCAGATATTGTGTAGATTTCCACATCTAGATATTTCCACATCTAGGAATATTTGTTTTCTTGTGAGAAAAATAAGGGGTGTTTATTGCTTTCTGTGACTGAAATCCTCTGATATATTTTTACACGTATTAGGCCCTCATTAAGTACTTGTTGAGCAAGACGAAATAATTGTGAAAGTGATATAAACTTTAATAATTCTATTAAAGAGTAAATAGCTGTTAAAGGATATTTACTCCAGTTCCTTCAGTGATTTATTTTTTTAATGTTTATTTATTTATTTTTGAGTGAGAGAGAGTGTGAGCGGGGAGGGGGCTGAGAAAGAGGGAGACAGAGAATTATAAGCAGGCTTTGCACTGTCCGCACAGAGCTTGAAGCGGGGCTTGAACTCATGACCTGCGAGATCATGACCTGAACCGAAACCAAGAGTCAGATGCTTATCCAACTGCGTCACCCAGGCACCCCTCCTTCACTGATTTAAATAAGTTAATATTCAACAGGTTTTATTTTCTAACATTTTTAGACCTGGCTTTGTTTCATCTTCGATGTAAAGGTATAATTATGTCTGCCAAATCATAGTTCAAGGGCATTGCTAAGCTAGATGTTGACTCTTCAAACTCTCCAACCATTAGTATTGCAGAGTAGAGGCTAACAGGAAATCAGATTTGAATGGAGATTAAGCAGTGTTATTAGAAAGTACGTATTTAAGTACGTTCTGGGTTTCTGAAATCCTGCGACATTTGCCAGTTTATAGGAGACAGGTTTGATCTCTGGTCTCATTGGCTTTATCTTGACTCTTTTCATATTTGTTGTATCAATTCCCTACTATCCTTAATCCCATTAATTTCTATATTAATCACAACACAACTTTAATACAGGTGCATAAGCTCTAACATGAAAGTGACACCAAGTTTATCATTTTTCAAAAATGTTACTTTAATATGTATTCTGAGAATTACTACATGAGTTTCACTTCTCTGAGATTTTACTGAAATCATGAACTCATAACTCTCCATAACTCTCGCCAAAGGAATTAATAGAGTTGAATAAGAGATTTCGTTCCGTACAGTGTATTTATTTTATTCTGTATTGTCATTTTGAAAATGACTTGACATGTTCAAGTTAAGCCAGAATACACTACTGTTTCTCTTCAAAAGTCTTCTACAAGGTGCCTTTGAAACTCAGAAGGGAACCACGTATCTATAGAAACTTAGCTTTTGGTGTCCAAGGACCACATTTCAGACACTTTCAAATAGAATTCTATTGCCATATTTGCTAATAGAGTTACGTTTAGAGGATTAAAAATACAATTTCACCCTTATACCTACGTTCACATGTGCCGATCATCCCATCTTCTGAGTCTGATTATATAAATACGGTACAGTCATCAGGAAATTTTTCAGAAGGTGCCGCTTTTCAGACAATTCATACTGTAAGGTGCACAGGCTCACAATACACAACATACACAGATAAGAAGGTAATACAATTTGGAGTGGATCGCTCTTAGGATGCGAATTTGGATCCTCATCTTGAACACGTGGAAATGCACATGCAAACCGCACACACATCTTTCCACCCTCCAGTTTTGATCGGAAGATAGAATTAAGGGTGGTTGGGTTGGGAGAGAGAAGGGGAGGGAGTAAAATCATATCCCTTTTGGGGACACGTACAAAATACAATCACAAGAAACAAAACTGAAGATCGAGGGAGCACGTTGCTATGTGAGTTACCTGCGAGGATGTGTCACACTGTATGAGTCTGAAGTCTACCAGCCTGCACGTCCCCTGCAGTCAGAAAACTGGGTTCCCCGCTGGGCATCCCCAGGGCGCAGAGCAGTGTGAGGGCTGCTGCTGGTTGCTGACACCGTGTGTGGATGGAAGGAATGGATAAATGTATGAGTCAGCCATTGAAAAGTGGATAGCAACGTAGGTCTGAAAACTCTTCCCTGGGTTTTTTTCTTCCTTCATGTTTTCTCTGGCTGGACAATGACTTGGTAATAAGGTCAGGACATGAGTGATGGCAGAGAAGGCTATAGTCTTACTCGGTGACACAGGATTCAAATGAGAAGAACCACACGTTGTAGCAGAACGCTTGTTACAGGAGTGACTTTCTTCTTTGGCTACTTTTCAGGGATAATATGGATTTTAATCTCTGATATCTGAGTATGATGAATTAACACCACATAACAATAATGTGGCCACTCCCATGAGCCTCTCTGCTTTCATCCTCTGTTCCTAGTTGGTGTTTATGTACGTGGGTACTTCATGTAATGGATTTCTCCTGTGATCATGGGAAATCTGCTAATCAGTCCAGTGGCACACCACTTGCATTCAGAAATATAATCAGTTTGTATTAACGTGTACATTCAAGCCTTCACTTAAACCTCAGGGGATTGTGACTTACACTTGTTCTTCTCCAGTCATATCTGAATCCGAGTCTTAGCTTGGACAATTCAGGGTGTACATTGATGTAGACAATTTTATATGTAGATAATATGGATTAAATAGTTGATAAGTAATGCGAAGCATACATCTATCTTTTACCAGCTCTCCATCCACCTACCAATGTAGGCATCTGTCTTTTTATCCAGCATCTAAGTCGTGCTTAAATCCAAAATACATTTAACTTATGCTGAAACGAAGTCTCTTGTTCAACTATATCTGGGCATCTGAACAGCCTCTTTTGGCGTTTTATAAATACTAAAAATGTTTCTGAAATAAGCAAAAAAAATGCCCTTTTAGGTTCAAGCTGAAAAATCACATTTTAGTATGTTTCTATAGCGAAAGTAAAATTAATATTCATGAAAAAAGACTTCAGACTTAAAGTTTACAGAAATCCGAAAAGAAGTACACACTTGTATATCATTAATGCTAAAATGACTTGAGAATTACCCCATTTACAATATTAAATGTAAACATGACTAAGCAGCTTATGTAATTATGTGAATGATGCTCATTTAGTTGTAATATAAATTTATTGACGTTCTGGGGCACGTGGGTGGCTCAGTCAAGCGTCCAACTTCGGCTCAGGTCATGAGCTCACAGTTTGTGGGTTCAAGCCCCACGTCGGGCTCTGCGCTGACAGCTCAGAGCCCAGAGCCCTCTTCGGATTCTGTGTCTCCCTTGCTCTCTGCCCCTCTCCCACCTGTGCTCAGTCTCTCAAAAATAAATAAATGTAAAAAATGTTTTCTTAATTTATTGACATTTTAACTTTGCAGACTTCCCTCTAAATATACCAGGTAATATTTTCTAAAAAATGTGAGGTGAGATTTTTGAGACAAATACATGAATGAAACAGACATAAAGACGCAGAAGGCTCCTTCCTTCCTTTGTTCGTCACCTCTGCTGTGATGCAATTTGCCAGCAGGTTGTTCACAGGAACACACTTCCTCTCTCAGCTTCCCGTGGCCCACTTCCTAAGGTGTTGGTGATAATGATCTGCGCACGAGGGCACTTACCCCTTCGAATTGGGTTTTCTAGATTAGTCCCAAAGCTCTTCTTTTCCAGTAACTTGCACATTCTCTCTCTCGACTCTCTCTCTGTTGCAGTTCATTATGCTGACCTACCTTTTCATGTTGGCCTGGCTGGGAGTCACGGCCTTCACCTCCCTGCCAGTTTACATGTACTTCAACCTGTGGACCATTTGCCGAAACACCACCTTAGTGGAGGGAGCGAACCTCTGCCTGGACCTTCGTCAGTTTGGTAGGTGGATCTCTAACTAAAACAAGGCCTCGTACTGTCTTAGCCTAAATGACTGTGTCTGGAATATTGCAGATCACTTTGGAGCCATGATTACTTCTTCTAGCAAAGAGATAAATGTGTCACAGTATTCACTTTCAAGACATTCCTTTTAAATTCACATAAGTAGGAATTTAAGAGAGATTGGAAGTTGATCTCATAACATGAATATACAATGTGTGTGTTTGAACGGGCTGTCGAGTTGTGTTTCCTGGTGTTGGCATGAAATAATTGTGATGCCCTCAATCTGATTCCTTTGTACTTTTCTAGACTTGATGTGATGCTTGCATCTACTTTTTTCTTTAATTTTTTTTTAATGTTTATTTATTTTTGAGACAGAGCATGAACGGGGGAGGGTCAGAGAGAGAGGGAGACATGGAATCCGAAGCAGGCTCCGGGCTCCAAGCTGTCGGCACAGAGCCCGACGTGGGGCTCGAACTCATGAACTGTGAGATCACGACCTGAGCCAAAGTCGGAGGCTTAACCGACTGAGCCATCCAGGTGCCGCAGTGCTTGCATCTACTTTTATTCTCCCATGATAAACTATACAATTTGTGAAATCTAGAGTGAAGACCATCTAATAAATACGTGTTGCACTGGCTTCTGAAATAAGGCCGGAAAAGTTAGCGTATAATATTAGAAAATCAAAGAATCCTAAGCCAATCAACAGTCCTCTTTGGTTATTTTTGTTTAGGGCTAAAACCTCATGTGATAAAATGAGTTTCATACGTGTAGATGAGCTTGTGATACACGGATCCTATTCTGATGGTTTTGTCCACGTTGACTTGTTTGTCAACAACTGTCACAACAATTCTACATAGTGGACGCTACTATCATCCTCTTTATAAATGACAAAACTGAGGCACAGAGAGGTTACATGAGTTCCCCAAGGTTATCCAACTAGTAAGTGACAGCACTGGGATTCAAACCCAGGCCGTCTGGTTTCGGAGTCTGGTAATTACAAGTCGGCACACAACTCTGTCCTGTTGACAGATGAATGTGGAGAAGTGGATCCAGTCTCGCCTAACCTATTTGGAATCCTAGTCCCCTGTTCATAAAAAAAACATGGCAGCTACAAAATTTACAAAAGACCTGGAGATCCACATGTTTGCATGGTTTTTTTCCCCAGGGACAGGCTATTAAAATCTAAGCCATGAACATCTGGGAATGCTCCCTAAGATTTTCTCTAATGAGGTCTCCACATACTTCGGGAAAGCGGGGAACATTTCACTGGGTACTGTCCGCAGGCCTTGTGGCTCTTTGGGGGTGCTCTAGACAGGTTGTAGGGTACAGCACCACTGTCCAACCCAGCCAGCTGTATGTTCCAAAGCTGTGGCCCGCTTGCCATCCTGAAAGCCAGAATCCTGATCCTAATAAAAAGCAGCATCTGCTCGGTGGATGAAGTTCTTGGCAAGAAGACAGCAGAGGGAATATGGACAGCTCTTCTCCTGGAGAGGTTTCAATCTTGGAATCATGTCCCACGTGAACACAGGAAGAGAACGTCGGCGACAGCGGTTGGAGGCCACCAGAACAGCTGCTTGGAAAACATGGCCCTCCTTTCAGTCCCTCCCCCTCGATGTCTTTTATTCTGCTGATCTGCAGATTGGAAATTGGAAGAGAGGTGACCGGTCTCTCAGACACGGTTGCCACCTAAAATACGGGCCACCTAGTGAAGTTTCAATTTGGGGTAAACAGGCAATTTTTTTTGGTAGAGTGTGTCCCAGATATTGTCTGGGCCACACTTCTGGTAGGTGTAAACCCTGACGAGGGTTAAAGTTGCTCTTTGAACCTTAGCACTGCTTATGACATAGTTATCAAGATTTATTCTAATTTAACTCTTATCCATGCTGTGGAAGAGAAGGCACTTTTCAGATGCCATGCAACCTTTTGCATCAGCTATTATATCTTTGTGTTTGCCCTCAATACAGAATCTACTGCCTGGATGGCATTTATTTGGTTTCCGAAAAACACACCCTTAATAAGAAGCCTGAATGTACACGTAGCAGTCAAGTTATCAAGGGGCATCAGCATAGAAACGGACACTCGTCCAGGTCTGGATTATGATCAGTACAGACATGTACTAATGTTCTCAAAAAAAGTGATCAGGTGGAAAAGAACATGCTATAAATCAATTTCCCTCATTTTGCGAAGTTGTCTCATTACATCTAGGTGGTATCTTCTCTCTTAGGGGTCAAGGTCTTTGGGCTGCATGGTGGGAGCTGTCGTCACATAGCGGCTGCTGTGCCTGCTTAGTTTCTAGTTGCAATTCACTGTTCATTCCCCTGCATGAGATGAATGTATTTATGGCATGCAGATCGAATGGGAAGCTGGGGCACTATGCAGTTCATACACCTGTGGAATTTAAAGATGGTTAGTCCTATCAGGGTTGGCCATGTTTCAAAATTAGTCATGAAATAATTTGTCTTGCAATTTTAATTTTTAGCGCTTTCATAGTTATTTCTGTTGCTTTTCAATTATACGTACAGCAGTATAATGACGTTGAATGCATTAGGGATTTAGTTTAGTGAATTTGTTTCATAAATTGTTAACACTGGTCCCCATAATATCATCTAGATCCAGAATTTAAAACTGTGCTTTTTTAAACCCTGGTTGTTTGATGAAACTCCCTCGGGGCCAACCACAGGGAGAGAGTGGTCCAGAGCAGGTGGCGCTCTCCTCTTAGCCTTGTAACCAACCTTCCCTCTCGTCTAGCACGTCCACACCCTGTAACAGGAGCAGCTTGTCTTGATCTGATTTCCAGTAAAAGTTCATTTCACTTGCTTATTCATACTTCTGCCAGACAAATACTTGTTGAGCTTCTGTTATGTTTAAGCACTGCTCAGTTTTTTTTTTTATTAAATTTTTTTTTCAACGTTTATTTATTTTTGGGACAGAGAGAGACAGAGCATGAACGGGGGAGGGGCAGAGAGAGAGGGAGACACAGAATCGGAAACAGGCTCCAGGCTCTGAGCCATCAGCCCAGAGCCTGACGCGGGGCTCGAACTCACGGACCGCGAGATCGTGACCTGGCTGAAGTCGGACGCTTAACCGACTGCGCCACCCAGGCGCCCCTAAGCACTGCTCAGTTTTGAAAGACAAAAATCTCCATGTCAAAAAGTAAAAATCTACCTGTCCAGGGGAATTAGGTTACCAATGGAATGAAGATTACTAATCCGAAAACATGCTAATTGTCCTGGATGGTGTGGATGGGCCCCTATAATCACAAGAGTCCTTAAAAGTGGAAGAGGCTGAAGAGAAGTCAGAAGGAGATGGACCTCTGAAGAAAGGCACAGAGAGATGCAGTTTTGCTAACTGGGAGGGTGGAGAAAAGAGGCCAGGAGCCAAGGAATGTGGGTAGCCTACATAAGGTAGAAAATGATACTTTAAATATTCTATCATCTTTAAAACTGGTAATGTAAATGGTAAATTCTTTGAAAATTAAGCATTTATATTTGCTAGTAGGGAGTTAATTTCCAATCACCCTTAAGGGTTCATAGCATCCTAATACCTGTTCATTCTGCTTCCCTCCACCTCTAGCTTGTAATTTCCTTCATAAGAATTTACATCCTGAGTAGTGGTGCTTCTGCTGTCCAGGAACCTCTAAGAGGCTTTCATTACTTCAATGATCAAAGTAACAGACATGAGGCATGATTTTCTCTGAAAGTTTTCCCTATTTCAGACATAACCAATTCTTAGAAAGCCAGAAGTATACTGCTTCTATTTACACAGCTTAAAGGACATTAAAAAAAAAATAGGGGTGTCTGGGTGGCTCAGTCAGTTAGGTAGCTGACTCAATTTCAGCTCACTTCATGATCTCACATTTTGTGAGTTCGAGCCCCACGTCGGGCTCTGCACTCACGCCGCGGAGCCTGCATGGGATTCTGTCTCCCTTTCTCTGCCCCTCCCCCCCTCTCAAAAATAAATAAATGTTAAAAAAATATTTTAAAGAAAACATAGAAGAAGCTCACGGCTGCAACTCTGATGCCTCAAATTCTCACCATTATCTCTCCTTGCAGTGTGTATCTTGCTGCTTCTCTTGTACAGTCCTAACTTGTTTGTAAGAAACTGCAAGTGTCATTGTGTACATACTTTAGTTAAGGACTTTTGTGCATCTGGTGGATAAAATATGTGTAAATGTATTCAGTATGTAGAAAAATTAGTAAATCTGAATAATATACTTAATTGGGGGTTAGGCCAATTTGGCCGTTCATCGACAGATCCGTGTGAATCAAAATAATCAAGTTTTCAGATTTGCACCACAGCACATCTCAGATACACTTGCTCATTTTCATCGCTTCATATTACACCAATGTGCATTTGAAAACTATACTTAATTTGTAATGTGTATATTTGTGATATGTGGTAGTTGCGTCACAAAATTATGGACTATATATTTTTTATATCAACGTTTATAGCGTCAGGAGTACTGGAGACTGAGTGGAAGGGTTGCGTTATATAATATTTTAAAGGTGACGGAGGAAGGCTTCACCGAATAGCTGTTATTGGAAAGATATTAGAGTCATGGGAATATTCTTTGTGGAGGGAAGATTCAGGCAAAGTTACCAAGACGTCTGGGCGCCATGCCTGGTGTCTTCAACATACAGCAGCAGAGAGGCCAGTGTGGCTGAAGGAGAACGAGAAAGCAGGGGGAACAGACGGAGATGGGTCTGGGGGAGTCGTGGCAGTCCATGATGAACACATTGCAGGATGTCAAGTTTTAGAGACTTCTATTCTGGGGAAGTAGTGAATATGGGAGGGTTTTGGCAGAAGATCCCCCTTTACAGTGTAGAAGCGTCGCTCTGGCCACCGTCGGGAGAACGGACTGTCGCAGGAGTGGAAGCAGGGAAGTCAGGTGACACTCTTGCAGGAGCCCTGAGGGCCTGGCTGTTTTTTCAAGACGGGGACTGCAGAGCGCCCTGATGGGTGGGCGTGTGGGTTTGAGAGAAAAAGAGGCTTCAGGGAGGGACACACTTGTTGCCGGGCCCCCCCAGGAAGATTGACTTGCTGTCACATGAGCCCAGAAGCCTACAAGAAGAGCTCGCATGGGAGTGAGGCAGGCAAGGGAGATCAGAGTTCACTTTCGAGGATGCTGCTTTTTAGAGACTTCTTAGGAATCTAAATAGAGCTGTCAGGTAAGAGATTGGTAAATGAGCCTTGACTTCAGGAGGGAGGTATGGGGCTGGCTGTCTGGATTTAGGAGCTGCTGATAATACTTAGGAAGCTCTGACACTCAGATCAGCACGGGCCAACGACGACCTAGGTGTGCGCAGTGGGCGCTCCAGGGAACCAGGTCCTAGAGAGAGGGGGCTCGTGAGAATGGAAAGACAGAAGCAGGAGTCCGTAGATTTGGGGAACCTAATGAAGCGAGCCTGCAGGAGAGGGATCCATCAGCTGCCCCCCAGTGCTGCTGCCAGGCCAGGAAGAGGAGAACGGAGTATTCATCTTTGGTTCTAATTATGTGTAGGTCATTGCTGAGAGTTGAGGCAAAATCTGCCAGGAGAGGGTTAAGTAGAAAGGAAGAGAAGAGAATGCGAGCAGTGAGCGTAGTCAGTGCTTTCTAGGAGTTTTGCTGCAAAGGTGAACCAAGACCCAGGTGAGGAAATGCGTGCACAGCCTAGGTATCCCACCCGGATGAAGTCTGGGAAGATCGGCACAGAGAAGGACGCCTGCGAGGATGCTTCCTCAACGGTGATGCGTCTTGGGGAGTTCTGACTTCCCCTCCCCTATAGTGCCATCTATGCAGAAAGGAAAGGTCACAGAGAATGGACTGCATCCGACGGACTAGCTCAAAGCCAGAATACGTGAATGTATACACATATTAAATTAAATAAAGAGCAGGCAGTGCTAAAAGCTTAGGTATTAGTTTGCTCAGAACTTGAGGGGTTTTTCTCCTTTATATGTATATATGTTTAACGCTTCAGTAGGTCTGAGTACAATATCAGAGACCCGTTTTAGGATCATCTCGATCTCTCTTCTGTAAAATGAGATGTGTCGCGGTGTATCACTATGTGCTTCCTAAAAACACAAGACTCCTGCAAGCACTCCTAGATTCTGATTAAACAGTTGTGTGGTGCCATTCAGAAATACAGATTTTTGATAATTTCCCAAGTGATTCTCATGCAGCGGATCCATAAACCAACTGGAGCAAGGGTGAATAGGAGTGAAATTATAGTATTTTTTTTTTATTTTTCCCTCCTAATAGCACTGTTTTCAATATTAGCAGAGAAAAATGAATCCTTTGGGCAATATGCTTTTATAGACTTGCCAGAAGCATTGTACCAGCAGAATAAATTTAGACCCAACTTCAGCACAGTCTGGGACACAGTTATCAACATAATTGTGATGCCTACACCATCACATTAATGGACCAAACCAATCAACTAGCCACAATTGAATCTGTAGATCCGGTGGCAAGGTCCAATTGAATTCAGACTGAAAATGTTTTACGTCGCTTGCAGGCGAAATAGTTTTGATCTTCCATTCATAATTCTGTGTATAATTATTATCCAGCAATAAAAGCTGAGGAAGAATGTTTCCATCATACTATAGCACAAAATGGAACTTGCCTAGATTTTATCAGCCTAAGATTCCTTTTCTCTCTCTGGGCTCTTGAAAACATTTATAAGCTAAGCTACGATTTTCTCCATGTTGTAGGGATTGTAACAATTGGAGAGGAAAAGAAAATTTGCACCGTCTCCGAGAATTTCCTGAGGATGTGCGAATCCACTGAGGTAAATGTTTCTAAGCTGGTTATATCGTCCAAATTTTACCTTCCTTTGAAAAATATATAACTTGAAAAATATATCATTAAATCTATATCAAATTGTCCCCTTTTTCTCTCAGAGGGAATTTTACTCACAGTGATGCTATGCAGGGGGACTGCAGAATGAATATGGATGAGGTGCTCTGTCCATTTCAGTACACATTATAACAAATATATTTTTTCTAGAAAGTACCATTGTAATGAAAGTTCAACGTTTTTGCTGTTATGTTTAAAAAGATTGAACGTAGCCTTATGTTGTTACAAGATCACGGAAAACCATCATTATTAATCAGGACCTCATCTTTGTAATAAAATTATATTGAAATGACTCAGTTGCCAAGATTTAAATAATTTGCAGGAGAAAAGATACTGGCATAATGTTTTTTGGATTGAGTAAGCGAGTTATCCTAAGTACACTCTTGTTAAAGATGGACAAAGCTCTTATTCGTCAGACAGCAGCAGTCCTGACCTCTCTTCTGCTTGTAATCCTGGCACGTGTTTTGATTCTCTGCGGTTTCCTTTGCAGCTGAACATGACCTTCCACCTGTTCATTGTGGCACTGGCTGGGGCTGGGGCAGCTGTTATTGCGATGGTAAGACCCCAGAGCTCTGAGGCTTGGTTTTTCAATTTGTATGAGAAAGCTATTTACTTGTAGACATGAAATTTTGTCTCCCATCCTGAAGCCCACACGAATCCTATTTATTTGAATATCAGTAAAACAAAAGGCGGGGGGGGGGGGGGGGGG